ATAGCCGTCCCTCGAGTGGCAATGCCAAACAACAGTGAAACAATATTGATTGCGTCAACCACAGCCCTCTCCATTATGTGGACCAAATTTAGACTTTCTCTTGCTCATATAGTTCTCAATGCCCACCCTGGCCTGCTTCATGTAGGACTTTTGAATTGGTGGTGAAAATGTAATCTCCTACCTAGGTTGACGCAGGAGGTCACAAGCATTGCAAAGGAAGCTATTCCCACCTTGGTGCTGCGATGGATACATGTGTACTTTGCCTCAGGCAGCATGTATTGAAAAAAGCGAAGAGCGACTCGGTGAACAAATGTCTAACGCATCAAAGCGACTGATGGCAAAAAGGCGGCAATGAAGTGGTGAGCAATGTAAGCCAGCACCTGATCCAGAGCACAAGAAGCAATTGCGACAGCAGAAAACAGGGCAAAATTGCAATTGCCATGTGAAGTACATTGCAATTGGCATGTTTACAACACCGCGGACAGGCATAGCAAACCAAGTCAAACCATGCAGCGTCAATGCATGTTGTTGTGACAGCACTCTGAGAATTGGCACAACAAAGTGACTTGCTGTTGTCAACTCAAGAAAGTTGAGACTTAGGTAGCAGCGACCAACCAGCCTTGTTGTCCTGCGATGTACTCCTTTTTGTGAGAGCCTGCAACTTGCAGGATATAACTGTGAAGAAGGGGCATTTTCATTGATGCTCAGTAGCCAACCAGCCAACAAGCTAGTCAGTCAGCTTTGCCTACATCCCTCAGGTACTGTACGTTTGAGATCAGGAAGCCTGCTTCAGCCCCTTCTCCATGGGAATGATTGCGTAGTGATCCGAGACTTTCGCATTGTCGAATACTTTGGCCCCGACCTTTGTAACCTGACAAGAGAACTCACGCAGCATAAGGAAATCACGACCTTTCGATGTTGGCAAGTCACACGCATGGCTGCTGTGAAGAGTAGGTCTTTTCCAGCAAAGCCTCAGATCAAATTGAAATAAGAATCATTACCAAAATGGAATCCTCCGCGAGACTTGGGAAAATCATGATTTTCCAGCAAAAAATAGTCTCTGGGTCATAGGATGTCGATCAGCTGTAAACCTGGTCACCTGGAAACAGCTCCCTGTAATGTGCATCGTTTGCCGTCAAGTCTCTCTTGTCCACAGGTTTCGCTGCAGAGATAATCTGCTTCACAACAGCAACATGGTCTTCTGGCAGATATCTCGAATCGCTTCTCCTAGGTCCAGCATATGTTGGCCTTGACAGCTATGAAACTCTTGAGTTCAGGACGGATACGTGATCAGTCCCTCCTCGTATAGTCTTTGCGCCTAAGTGAGGTGGCAAGCTGGAGTGTTGGTCAGCAGGGTGTATTAGTTTCTGGCACAGCTAAGTGTCTTTGAAGGTGACAGCTTGAATTGCCTGCGCAATGAAGCCCTTAGACCATACATTCGAAGGGCCGGCAAGCTGCCGCCTTGTCAAATACAACCAAGGATCTTGACATCAAGGCAACCCCATTTTAGTGTGCACACCCTGTTTTGCCCGTGGCAAGCGATCGGTGTGTTGGACAAGAAAGAGAGGAGGAAAGAGGAACAAGCAAGAAAGAGTCGACACTGGACAAAACTGAAGCAGCGCCACCAAAATCTGAAATCTGGCCTCGCGCAAGCCCGCTGCAAATCTGCCAAGCTGAGAAGGGGCGGCGGCTGCTCTTCCACCACCGTGCTTACCTCCTGCGCAGTGAAGCATAATCCATTCACCTCTGCACACCTCAGACTCACTCTCACCCGCCTTCACAATCTTTGCAGCACGACCCGGCTTCCACTTTTTGGCCATCTCATGCCAGTCGAGGATGTCCTCCTGAGCTGGCTCATCAAATGATCACATCCATCATGCTTTGTCGCCTGCAAATGCGTCCTGGTTGAGCGTAGAAAGCATCCCTTCATATGAAGCAGCTTCGACCTGTGCATCTTCCAGCATAGGATGTACTATGCATCCAGTGCAAAAGTATGACAAAGCCTGCATCCGGATGCATAGAATGCATTGATGTTCTTTGAGCCTCATCCTTTGATGTGCAAAACGTGGCCCGAACCAGCTGGTACCTCAAGATCAGCATGTCTCCAGATGTGCCCGCATTGCCATGGCTTGGGCAGCATGAGATGCGATGGGCACGGTTCGGGGACAAATGCTTGTATTGCCTGCAAGGCTGACAAAAAGGCTCACGGTTGGAACTGTTGATTTGATGCGTTGCCCGCAATTCGTGAGATGCCTTCTCGCGTTCTGCCACAAGGCGCAGGGTCGGTGTCATGACTCTCCCCACGCTGAAGCCTGCTTGTAGCCATTGGCCTTGCAGCAACAGAACTCAAGCTCAAACCAAAAAAGGTCGTTGCGCCTTGCCGCATTGATCTAGTGCCATTGATGCCGACCAGCCAGTCCCATCTCGCCCTAACGGAAGTTCTGTGTAATGATCAGTTGATCCAATTGATCCAAGAACTCGCTCCTGCAATCAGCAGCCTCAGCCAAGTGATCGTACTCCTGGCCTGGCACCCGCTGGCCCGCTGGTGACAGCTTTGAATGCTATGAAAGCACTGCTCCCAAGCCGTGCGCGCGCGCGCCTTCCCGAAGGTTTGATAGCTCGCTCTGGATGGCAGAAGGAGTCAAGGATTGCAACCACATCCTGCGAAAGGGCCAAAGACCAATGGATGTGTGGCCAAACAATTGGGAAGCGCAAATCAGAAAACTCTGCTGCATACCCTGCCAGCCAGCCGGGGCTAGCACCGAAGTTCTGGATACGAGGGCACCCAAGCTACATATCACTCAGTACCTGAACAAGCAAGTCTGAGGTCACAAAGTGGAGTAGGTGCATATCCCTTCCTCTCACCACAGAAAATCTTCAGAACTCTAGTTGTGAAGTCAGAACAATACGTAGCAGTAGTGGTCTGGCCTTCTGACGCTTGCTGCCTATTGCCAAAATGGGCCGATCATTGAAGCATGCAAGTGCGGGGTGGGGTCTGAACAATCTAACATGGAACACTGTTCCAAAAGGATTGGTTGGATTCCAGCTGCAGCTAAGTGACAAATGGTGTCTGGAAATATGTGGACTCTCTCTCTCTCTCTCTCTCTCCCTCTCTGCTCTCCTTTTGAAGGGCATCTTTTCCAAGTGCAACAATGAGCGGATACGCCTCGGGGAACTCAGCAATCAGTCAAAGGCATGAGCCTGAAGCTCAAAAATGATATGGTTGATATCCTGTCGGCTGGCTACCTGTTGAACCCCAACATGGCCTGTAGAATCTGTGCAATGCTTGTATCTGGCACAATATCAAGGATTTACAAGCAGCAAATGATTCAATAGGTAGAGGACCGGAAGATCAGCTCACCCTCGCGGCCAGCGTCACACCTCGTCATCCAGAATGACGAGCCAGATCCAACAACTGCACAAGGTCCCGAACGCATTGACCAGAATCTGCGCTTTCAAGGCCAACTTGCGAATCCTCGAAGCTGCTTGGAAGTTTGAGACTGTCTCACAGCATGAATCCGGGCTCCTCACACCTCCAGCCTTGCTGCTTGTCCTTTGACTGCCTGTCAAGCTCCGTCGACCCGGAAATCGATATAGGGATGCAGCCTCTGCACACTGGCCCTTGCTGTGTGCTGCTTTGATCTCTGGTTCGCGCATGCTGCCAGGATTTAGATGAGATTGTCGTGGCAGAGAGTCAAAGACCGTGCCAGCTGCCTTGAGATGAAAGTGCGGGAATATCGGCAATGTCAGATTGAACCCCACATCCTGATGTGAGCACAATGTAAACGTATGGCACAGAGTTAGGGAATCAAATGGCAGCACACTGGAATGAGTCTTCCACATATTTATACAGAACTGCAGCACTGTGCAGTCCTCGAATTCCACCAAATGCCCACAGGCTGATGCGACCAGCATGTCTTTGCCCTTGAAATAGTTGCCCACCTGCCACAGCAAGGCAGTGGCATCAGCAGCGACTGCCGACAGCTTCAACCAAAGCGCAAGCTGCCAGCCACCATGGGGACAGCGCAGCTCGGGCCTTCTTCAGGCCCGCGGCGGAGGCAATCTGCTCCGCGACCCTCGCATGTTGCAAAGTGATCGGAACTTCTCTTTGCTGAGGGGGACTCCGTGACTCGGGCACTTTGGCACTTGGACATCTGCCTCTTGTGTGTTGCACACCCGCCTTGGCTTCTCTGCAATGACCAGTCGCAGTCCGAAGGCTGCAGCAGCAGCGCCTACAGTTCAGCTCAAGCACGAACGTCCGAAGAAGGATACCGTGTGGGGCAAATGTCCCGTATAGGTGTCCAAAAACACGTGTTTCTGAATTCATTTGCAGCTATGCCAAAAATGTCCTGTTGACGTTTCAAAACTGTGTGTGGCACCGTTGGTGCTGCAACCAAGTGGCGCACGACCGTTTTCAAGCTATCCACTGGCCATTTGCGCCACGTGGCTTTGTCCTCAGTTTGCCACACAAGGGTCAAGGGTCAGATTCATTGTGCTGCCTTCTGCGAACGGACCGTCGGGAAGGCCCCGCTCCTGCACGAAGAATCGACAATGATGCGTTCTTCATTTCTGCAACTGGCGCTAAGAATCCTGCAACAATGTCCGGTCATTCAGAAGCTGACAAACCCGGAACCTACCTTAGCGATGGGACCAGTCCTGAACTTGCACGAAGGCTGCCAAGCGCACGGCCATCGAGCTAGCAATGGCCAGCTCTGGCCATTCGCCAATTCCATCGGAAAAAACTTGGATCCAGGGGAACATCACTGGTTGACAAAGAAGTGGAGGCAGTTTTGGAGCCAAAGTGTCTAGTGTCTGCGAGGCATTGCTCCAATATGATCTTTGGCGAACAGCCATGTCATCCCCTTGAGCCCATAGCGGAAGTCGGCGCAAAATCGAACATACGTCCTTAGAAAGATTACTGTAACTTTGTTGCATCCTTGGAAGCTTGTGACAAGCCACCCCCAGAGCAAATAGTGATGCCGTATCGAAAGTGCAAGCGCCTCTGCCACAGCTTCACCATTGCCGATACCGGGCTCTGGCACGTTGGCAAAGGGAGACCTGACAACAAGAACAAAAGTGATAAACTTTGCGCCGTTCTTGTTCATCTTTGCAGACCCTCAAAGGACACCTGCCATAATCCCTCTTATATGCAACACCCTTGGACCATCTAAGTGAATGCTGGCGGTCTGAGCTTCAGGCGGGAGAGCCAAGATCTTGCCTTCCTCCCATCGGTCCGAGCCCGGTCGCCGCGCCAGAACCTATCTCCAAAGAAACGCAGCTAGACCCTGCTTCAAGCTCTCTTAGCTGCTCAATCTGCTACATTCGGCTGAACCCTATCCATCCCATGTGACGCCAACGGTCCACAAAAGACTCACATTGCACGTGAACCAGCAAATCGAGCAACATGCCTGGTCGCCCGCTGCAAGACCCGCACAGCGGGAGAAGAGCCGCTGCGCCAGCTCCAAGACTGTGGAGCGAAGAGCCTACAACTCGCTCGCTGTGATCGCAGGATATCACAGAAAGCAGAGCGATTGCCGCATTTTGCCGAGCACTCGGAGCTATAGGACAATGTTTCGCGATCATGCTACGCACTTGGACGCTCAGCGAAGACCAGCCTGCTGCGGTCCCTTCTTGCTTTCCTTCACAAGCGTGGGATTGCAGGCAACGCAGGACTGACACTTTGGCCATGCCTGCTGCGCATCCGCTGCGGTGGCGCTCCGGCGAATAACAGCGTCCTTGCAGCAGAATACTGCTCTATGTGCACGCGTCCAAATGCTTGTCAACGAGTTGCTGTGCCTGTGGAACATTGTACCATTTGTCCCCATCATCATAGTCCACCTGGTAGCTGCCGTCCTCATTTCTGCCTCGTCAAACTAAGTAGGATTGCCTCCAAATCTGACAGTACTATGCTTCGTGCCAACAATTCTTCCAGCATAGTACCTGGCAGGTGTCAAACATCCACCAATGACAGACTGACAGCTGCTCGGCCCTTCGGCAGCTTGCTTGCCTGCTTGTGATCCGGCCGCTGCTCAGCTGATACCGAGCTTCCACACGTGTTCCGACCTCAGGTGCCCCTTTGCTTGCGTTCCATGCCGCCGACAAGAAGTCACGTATTCTGTGCTGCAAGCGCCATACCTGGATTACCACTTAGCTGACAGGATTGCTGCGGTGAACGATTCATCCTTGACCGTGCTCATTTACTGTATGAGATTGATGCTTGATAACGCAGAAAGGCCAATGAACTTGCTTATTGAGATCTACATGGCTCTCAATGAGAACCTGCAAAGCATCAAGTCCTGCCACATGGCGATTGAGACCGAGCATGTGGCTGCAAGTGGCTCTGCTGGGTCCTGACAAGCTGGCATTGCACTTGGAGTTTGGCCGTCATTCTGCATCCCCACCTCTCCAATCTCAACATCTGGCTTGGCCTCAAATGGCGTTGAAAAGCTCAGGCTTCTGCGCACCTATTTTGCAGCCACTGAGAATGCGGCTGGCCAGGATGGGCTTTGCAATGCTTCAGCCAGTACATCGAAGAGACCACCATCAATGAGTGCTGGCCTGAGAACCAAGAGTTTGCACAAAGGTCAGATCAAACGCTTTGCAAGACCAGGATTGAAGTCAAGTTGGCAGAGAAGACCTCTTGAACCACTATGCTCTTTGCAGCTGACTGAAACACTTTAAACCATAAGCTTCCACAAAGCTCTGTTTGAATCACGCCAAGATATATCGCTGCAGCAAGGCTGGAAGTGTTTGCATAATTTCTCTATGCTGGAATGTGATTTAGACGCAATAAAAGATTGTGGCGCTATATATCTGCATCTCAGCGCAACAGACAAGGTGAACTGGGTCTCAGGCAGACTGGCTAGCCAGTTCCTGCGTCAGTTCAATACTCATTTCTGGTCGATGTACAGCGCTCATGCACACGCCTCCGCAACAGGTTCCTCAATCGGCTGCAAGCCTCAGAGGCAGCATCGTGGGACTTGAACATCTGCAGCCATAAGTCCATGAAGCTCAGGACAAGTCCAGACGGCACTTGCTGGGGTCTCGGAGTGCCTGAAGTTGCTTGCAAGCACAGGCAGCAAATCAGGCTTTCCCCACCTCTATGTCTGCTCGAACAGTCTCCTGGGTGACTTGGCCTGGTAGCGTCTTTAGGCAAGTGACAAAGGAGTCAACGTCTTTAGTCAATGTATATAATGTTTTCCGAGTGCCCAGCCCAAATTGGCATCGAAGGCACAGGCCTGAGCACGAAGAAACTGCTAGGAAGGGTGTTCTTGAGCATCTTCACCCGTGCCTCACATAGGTCAAAGCCTGTGGAAGGACAGCGAAACGTTATTGTAAATACCTTAGACTGCATGCTGTTTCCAGCAGTGTATGCAGCAAATGCAGAATTTGTGATAAAGCGCTGATTCTGACTCGAATGGTCTGAGTCGACAACCGATGACTGGTGAAAGTCGGTCATTCCACTCCGACAACCACCAGGCACGTCTCGCCCATCACAGACCCAACCACCACTAGAAAACCTCGCTTGCAAGCCATGCAGACCTCAGCCTACTCCAAGTTGCCTCTAGGCTCCACGCATACTCTTCAGGCAGTTCGGGTGAACCTCAGCCGCAAGGAATGCCAAAAGCACCGTGCATCGAATGGCTCAGAACTCTAAGCTCGCTGGCTTTCGGCTGCCGCACCGATCTTCGCATCCACGGTCCTAATGGCACCTGTTGTGTTTGTCGGGGAACCGCACATGACGATTGCGGCCTCAAGGTGTTGTCAGAAAACATCACGGACTTGATGCCTGTTCGGATGCTCGCTGTCCAGGAAGTCCCACAAGCGCCAGCATGGCAACCTCTATGTGGTCCTTGTGGCCGGCAAATGAGACAAGCCAACAAAACAGCTAGATCCTAGCTTACCAAATATATGCAACACCACGGAAGCTGGTGCAAACACATCTTGGCGAGTGCAAGCACCACATACAGTCAATCCTGACGCCCATGCGTGTCCAGAAACTTCACCATAGCGTATCTACCCTGGTGTGAAGCATGGCAAAGAATGAACTGGCCTGCGCATGATGAACCCTAGCCAATGCGTGCACCTCACTAGATGTCACCAGCCTGGACCCATTTTGGCAGCTCCACCTCAACCTGTCCATAGACAAGCAAAGCGAAGCAGCAAACTACCTTGCAACTTGGCCGCCTGCAACAAACCCTAGCACGCATGGAGGAGTGCGCCTCTCGGCTTGTCGCATCTGTTTTGAAGTAGGCACATGGCCTCAATAGCAGCAGGTTCTGTAGAAGCTCCAGTGTGGTCTACCAAGAGCTGATTGGAAGGGGAAGCGAATGCCAAGTCCTTTTTGCACTGTCATGAGGTCCGAGCCCCGGCAAGTTTGGATCTGCACTTCCAGCACCCGAGGCAAAAGCTGGCGTAGGGCAACATTCAGTGCATGCTGAAGCTTGCGCATGGTATGTGGTCACCATGCAAACCCCACAAGTGAAAGTGATATGCTGGTTTGCCTGGCTCGCAAGCAAGAAACATGGCCAGGCGGACCTTTCACTGCCTCCTGCAGTTCCTGCAAACAGCAACGATTATATGGCTTCTGGTGAAGCATGCACGCAGCAAGCAAAACTGTGCAAGCAAAGGGCACAAAGGCCATTTAGGTACTCAGAAGTGTTGTGCCTCTTCACCCAAGCCATCGTAGCGTCTACTTTCTTCCACCGAGGGAAGAGAATCCTGGCATCCACTGTGAACATCACATCAATAGCCGGCAGGTACGACGAATGACTTTTGCAATTCCAACAGCAAACTTGCAAGACAATCTGACACTATAGTGTGCGCAGTACATGATGTTGACCCCAATTTTAGAGGGCTGTGACTCAGAGCAAAACAAAACGCAACCAATACGCAAAGCCAAAACAATCTGTTTGATCTGACTTGAAGTTGTAGAGCTTGGCGCATATGGCTTGTCCCCTAATTAGCTCAACTGCAACATCTCAGCTGTTGTGGCAGACCGACTGTACATTGTTCCTTGCATATCACGGACACCGCTACGGTCAAGTCCAATGAATACGCAACTGCCAACAGGCCTGCAAATGTTTCTTCCAATTTGAGTTAACAAACTCACTAGTAGCGGCAAATGTCAGTCCATGCTACGACCACCAAGAAACTAATCTGCACATCTTATCTTTTGTTCTTGACGAAGGCCTCAACAAAACTACCACCGAGGGAAGGGAAGACACGCAGCAACCGCTCAACCATGACAATCGATTCCTCTATCACTACTTTTACTTCAAATCTTCAAGCATGGCATCTGAGACTTGGATTACATTATATGATTATATGCATATATAGAATGTTGCCTGAACGTCTGTCACAAGCAGTGCCTGTTGGCATTCCATTCCTGCCCATCCAAGAGCAACCCCGCTGAATCCATGTCTTTCTGAATATGCTCATTGAAGTGAGCCAGCTATTTGCAAGAATGCAAGTCATTATTATGAACAGCTGTGCAATGGCCACTTATTGAAATGCTGCAATCACTGAAGAAGCAAAGCAAAAATATGACCCGCCTGCAGTTACAACACCAGCTCAGGCAGCAAGATCAATAATGATGCACAAAAATTAGGCATTGGTTGAGCCCGCACTGACAATGGTTGCGTCGCAGGTTCCCAAGCTGGCACGGGCTGGCCGAGATGAATATGAGGCCGCTTCTGATGGGCTCAGAGCCTTGTCACCATCGTCACCAATAAGCACTCACAAATGTCCCAAATGTCCTCGTACCCAAACACTCCTATGTGCTAAGCCCGCCGCAGCGAGATCCAGGGCCGGAAACAAACACATGGGTCACCGTAAAATCTTCCTGGATCAGTGGATCATGGACAAGGTCGTAAGCTCTGTCAAAGCGCAACAGCTTGTTGTTGCGCTCCACATTTTTGCTCGGCATTCAGAACGAAACGATTGCACAATTTGTCCAAACCAGCAGCCAAGCAACCGAGCTTTCCAGCACCTGGAGTGACAGCAAACGAAGGCAAAACGTGACAACATGCCGAGAACCACATGCATTTGGATTGCACACATTTCTGCATGAAGGCATTTGCCACTGTGTATCTCCTGAGGCTCAGGTCTTAGGGAGCGCGCTAAATTGAATTTGGTTCCACTGTTGGAGCTGTGGAATGGATCTGCCTGTCAATGCAACGCGAGCTGCGTTGATTATACACCACGGTAGTGAACAAAGCAATTTATTTCCCTGGGTGTCCTGCCAGCGGCGTAAGAACATGCCTGACACTCAGATCTGTATGAGTCGAGTGGACCCAAAGGCAAGGTGATCATTCAACAGAGCCTTTGCACCCGGCCTAACGTCATATTGAGCTCTACCTCTCTGCGATCCACCATCGTATGATTTGACCTCCATACCCAGAACACACACATTTGCCAACTCACGAATGTCCCGCCTTCAGGCGCTCATTCAACAGAATTGGACGAATTTGAGAAGAGTCGTGCGGCGGCCTGGGCACAAAGATTTGGAAAGCCCGTCCCAAAGCCCTGCATATTAAAAAAGTAAAAAGTAAGTGATAGACGAGGATGCAGTGGATGGAACAGCCATCCTTGGAGATGCACCAAACTGAGGGCCCCAAAAATTGAAGCGTGCTACAACGGCAGGCCTGGAATGACGGCTACTTCTGGCGAACAGCTCGGAAATGGAGCCGAAATGGGAACGCGGACCTTGAGGACAGGAAGGCTAAGGCTCTGCCTCCACCCAAAGCATGGTATGCCATGCGTCAGTTCACTTTGTCATAGGCTCACACACTTGCTTATTTAGATATTAATTCATGGCTTTAATTATCTATTTATTCATTCTACATTTATGTATCTTTTGATGTACCTGCCCTGGACCTGTAGACCGAAACTACTGCAAAATACGATCCGCTTCTTGTTTTCCAGATTCTTCAATCCTGGCTAGCCCGCAAGCCCACATTTGATTAATGTTTTGAGCGATCTATTATTGAATATTGAAGGTTCCACTGAAAATGTTTAGAGATTCGTCAATCCTGCAAACCAGAAACCAGGGTGGTCAAGGTATTGGGATCAAGAAGACTTAGAACGAGTTCAAAGAGCCTCGCAGAACTCAGCCCAGCAGTCTGCTTCTCAAATATGGTGCGTGGATCGCTACAATGTCGTCGAAAGCTGATCCCCTTTTCTTGTCTGCACGGCCTTCAAGTTGCAGCGCACTCATGGGATCAAGCACTGGCTTTCTGAGTCCCACCGCGCAACACGTGGACCACATAAGAAGCACAGCGCTACATCGACATGTGCCAACTGCCTCTGCACGCAGAAGCAAAGAGCTTCCAAAAAATTGCTTTGCCTCTTGGTGTCATGTTTAGGGATAAGTAGTCGGCTCACTCTGCAACTCAAAGAGAAAAGCCAGGCCCAAGCTTGTCCACCAGGGCCTATCACATGCAAGAAGTGGCAATGTCATCCCAACAAGACACTCTCTTTTCATTTGCCTTCGTGTACTCTTGCAAGTCGGGGTTGCTGCTATCCTCCAAAAACACTGTTCGGCCCATCACGGCTTGATTGTGAGATGCAAGCACAGAAGCGCAGAAGCGCTCCCGGAAGTCTCGCAGCTTGGCTTTCTCCTTGGAACCAAGAGCCTGCCCAACCTCAATCAGAAGCACGTGGTGCGCACTTCTCGGCATTGCAATGAACACATCTTTGCATTGAGCGCAGGGCATTGGTTGGCTGCGTCTCAGCCAAAGAGGTCATCGCCAGAACTACAAGAGCCATGCCGTTGGATGTGACCTAAGATCGAGTAGATGGTGCACCCTCGCGCAGCCTGTGCCTTTCGATGACGCTCGCGCCTTTGGAAGCAACGCAGCCAAGGATGTTGCCGCCCCCTGACAAGGGTTGGCCGCGGTACACACCACTGCAAGCACCATGATGCCATTGCAGCTGTGATAGTCAGAGCAAGCTGTCTTCGGCAGGTGTACATTTCATGCTGATTCAAGCTCCATTCGCCCAGCAATCTGTACGAATGACATTTGATACTCTGGCGGCTCCACACACCGATTAGAGGAACAAAAAGGCTGCGCCTTCTCAATCGCCATTTCCTGTGCTGCCGGTCCAGACCCTGCCACAAATTGTGTTGTTTCTGGCTACGGTGCAAAGCAACCCGAAAACTGATGACCTGGTGAAGCACATTCTGAGCCGGTTGCGTGCAATGTTGGCCATCGCCCCAGCTGCCCACTCTGCAGCCTGTTACAATGCAAGGCCTGACCCCAGCGTGTCAAGCTTGACTGCCAAATTGCTTCACCCAGGAACCAGCCTGCACAGCTTCAGCCTTCAATAGTTCTGCTAGGTCCGCAACCTGAGCGCAAAAGTACAGACTATGACCACACCCTTCCTATTCTTGTCATAGTGGCTATATCCCCTACCAGCCACAAACCAAACGCAATATTGATAGTGGCCGAACTGATGATAGATCCGCAAGAATGTCGAGGACCAAGGATCCAGCCGCTGGAGCAGCCTTTTCGGCGCTGTCAGGAGATCCAGCGGTCATATTCATCAAAGCGCCTGCTGCATACCTCAATGTGAGACAGCATGCCATCGGTCCTTTTGGTTTCGCCATATTCAACTAAGCCCAGCTACTCTTTGGCCATGGCATCACCAAGCCTGGCGCTGAGCTGATCGAAATCGATCTATGATATCAAATTACTCTGCACAAACAAGGTGCGTTTCACAGCGGATGTCTGCTCATGTGAAAACATGTTGTAAGACAATGCCAGGAAGCGACGTGGTTGCAACATGCATATTGTCTTCCCAAAATAGTAGATGAATGCTGTTCAGTTTCTGCTCCTGCATCGTGCATCGTGGCTAGTTCCATTTGTTTCCCAAACAAAGCTCTTTCTGTTTCAGATGCCAGCCCGAAGGCGTCAGACATAGCGTGTCTGTCAGCACTCTGTGCAAGCAGCCAGTGAGAGCAAATCGCCAAATCTGGCTCAAAACCAATTTTCTGATTCCTCCAACTTACATCGTATAGTCCAAGAACATTCGCTTTTGTTGGTCTGGTTGCCAATCTGCAGGGTCCTTGCGAGGTGCTGCATGTCGCATAATCAGCATTACTCGCACGTTTGCTTGGCGGCATCTAGGCTTTCCTTGAAGGCTGCTGAGTGTGCATCACTAATATCATTCGTCCAGTTGCTTGGCGACATCTAGGCGAGCTCCTTCAGCGACCTACCAACATCACCAGCATCACCAACATCAACAACATCACCAGCATTATATGCATAACGTTTGCTTGGCGACATCTTGGTTTGAATTCTGTAGATTGTAGATATGTGTCTGTGTCAACAACCAATCTAATTCTGGTGAGTGCAACAGGGGCTACCAAAACTCTTTGTGTCACAGTCAGCATATCAACTGCCCAATTTAGATTTACAGTAGAACTTGGCTTGTGTGTGTGTGCCAAATTGGCTTGGCATGGCATGGTGCATTTCTGCAAGACATCTGCACAGGTGTCATCAACATCACACACGCAGTATTACCAGCATCCCTAGCATCACCAGCATCACTAGCACCACAAGATTTAGACATTGCCAGCATAACCAGCATCATTTGCTGTGTTGGTCGTTAATGCAGGCGGATGATGTGAGTGATACTGCCCTGGTAGCACTGAAAATGTGTTGTTGGGTATGCAGGTGATGCGCGCAAACGACAATCAATGCCAAAAGATCTTGGGTCCCATCTTGCCACATTCTCTGGCAGCTGTTTTCTTCCAAATTAGCATGCGAACATGCAAACCAGCCAGCAGGAACCGAAATGATTCCAATCTGCTTCAAACTGCCCTCATGGCTTCCGACCTGAGCATGTCCATGAGGTACTCGATCGTACCGCCTTTTGCAAGCTCTGTCTTGACTTCCGGCCATCTCCACGACAAGTTCCTCATGCCGCACACTGGCTGCTTGAATTTCTATTGCTTGCTGCATGCCAAGCATCATGATGCCAAGGGCAGCTTCCCCGATCATCTCCTGACATTTGCAAACTCAAAGGGCAGGACGTTGACTGGCACTGCTGTCCTTCAGCAAGCTCAGCAGCGGTGGCCCAGCTCCAGCTTGCCACACCGCGTCGCAAGGACCGTCCTGCTGTGGGCGAAGCTCCAGTTCCACAGAATCCAACAGCAGAAAATATTCAAAGCGGTCCTCCGCAGCCAGCATCGATAGGGCATGAGCGCCCTGCCGCTTGGCATCTTCCGACAGTCCAGGTTCTTGGATCAGACTTACCAGCGATGGGATCATCTCACCAGCCTAACAATGTTCAGTCATCATACCTATCTACTGTGGAACAGTTGAAGCGGCTTGCAGAAAGAATCCAACACATGATTCCGGGCCTGCTGAAAACCTGCGTGGACATTCGCACTGTGGTCATTGAACAGGTTTGCCAGTGCACCAGCAGCGCGTTCCTGCTTCTCAAAATGGCTTGACATTCCATGGCCAATCTCAACTTGCGACGCCTTCAAGGTCTCATCATCATCTTTCAGAGCTTTCGCCAACTGCTTCAAAGCGCCAGCTTCAACTATTCGCTCCTGGCTTCCAAAGCACAGTCGTCTGACAAGTAGCAAAGCGCAAAGCCTTAATCTTCCCGTGCGGTGCCAAGTTCATCAGCAAGGCAGCAGCCTTGGCTTAACCAATGAAGCTTGCTGCAATGGCACACCAGGGGCGCAGACTGACCGGCGAACATCGATGTCCGGATCACTCAAAAGTGACACAGCCTTCCGAGTCACTTGCGCCTGGCGGCAATTTGCATTGCCAACTCCAAGGCTCCACAAGCCGACCTTGTAAATCTGGATCTGGCGATCAGCGCTGCCACTGGCCAAGTTTGCCAGCGCACCAAGGGACTGGCACAAGACAAGTATGCAAGCACCGTTTTATCGCACGGGTGACTGCATCACAGCAGAGGCCAAGTGCTTGTGTCAAGTCTTATTCTGTTTGAAGTGTCCACTGTGTTCTCTTTGCAGGACGCAAATTGTCAACGAAACAAAGAGGTCATGCGAAGCCCCAATTATGGGCATCCGCAATTCCGCAAATGCCAGCAGGTCATTCATATGACCAAAGACAAACTTGCCACCTCCAACACAACACAGCTCCTTTCCTGAACCGCCGTCCAAGGCAAGCAATTGCTAGTTGGGTTTCTGTCCATTTGCGATTTCTTCGAGAAATGAGCATCCCTATGTCACCATATGTGGTCGGCCACGCTGACAATTTCGGAACCTTGAATACAACTCTGCAAGCAGCCTCTGAATGCCCTGAAGGTCTCGACAGCAAGTTTGCCAGAGCCGGAATTGCACCCAGCTTTGCAGCAGAAGATGCCACATCCATGTCCTGCACGCATCCAGCTACGCATGAAAACTTGAAGCAATGCTAAACGAAAACCCGGTCCCCTCGAGTGAGATTCATCAGAGCTCCCGCGGCATACTCACGGGCCAGGTCAGGGCCTTCCTCACAAACAAAAATACTTGCAGCAATATAGAGCGAAAGAATAAAATATGAAAAGGATGTATCTCCTTCACCAAGTTCACCAACGGGCCAATGGCATCCTGCGAAACGATGGCCTGGCTACCGGAACGCGTCTGCCACTGACTCAAATGCAATTGCGGGCGCAAATCAAGGCCCTGCCTTTGCATAATCTGCACAATCGCTGGCCAAATTCAGCAAAGCACCAGCTGCTTGTGTGCTGACCTGCGCAAACCGCGGCCATCGCTGGGGAACTGTGGACCAACTTGCAGGCCTCTGGTTCGAAAGTTGGCTTTAGAAGCTCGCACAGCTTCGGAATGGCGTTGCACTCCCCGATTGCCTTGGACAAACAGGTTATGAGCGGACAATTAGGCCTGGAGATTCAGCATCTCTGTGCGTTTGTGTGTGAGTGTGTGCGTGTGCTTGTGTGTGTGTGTGTGTGTGTTTGTGTCCGTGTTTGTGTTTCTGTGTGCGTGAGACGTGATTGTATGTCTGACCTTGTGTGGGTGCTGTAGGTGTGTTTGTGCGTAGTTGTGTGTGTGTAGTTATCTTCGGCTGTGTTTGCGTCTGCGTGTGCGTGCTTGTGCATGTGTGTGTGTTTGTGTGTGTGTGTGTCTGTTTGTGTGTGTGTTTGTGCGTGTGCTTGCGTGTGCATGTTCATATATGTGTGTGTGTGCACAAATGCAAGCCCTACTACAGTTGTGAGATCCTGGGTGAAAAATCGCAGCCAGTGAGACTCAGACGGGCTCTCTGGAACTTCTGATATGGTGTACTTCACTCAGCTCTGCACTTCACTCAGCTCTGCTTAATTGTGCAAAATCAAACTCAGAGCTACTCTATTGTTCCAAACTCCAACCTGCTCAACAGTTTGATACGTGACCGCACTTTGCCTTTACCCTTCTTTCTTGTGGAATACGGAACCGGCACTTCTGTGCATTCCATGGCATCACGGAAAGGACTTGAGCACAGCCTAAATCAAACAACACGAGCCTCCGTTTGACATGGGAATCTGTCTGTAACCCTCACTTCCTAATCGTAGTTTGGAGAGCGCACCAAATGTGATACATTAGCCGTTGCTGACATCAAGTTGAAAGCAAAAGGCTGGCTTTCATGGCACATTTTCTAATACGCAAGAGATAGATTTTGCAACAGCGTAGCGAAGAGTCCATGCAACAAAGTTTAAACAAGTTCGCTTTTGCGGCAGACACAACACAAGTCACGTATGAAACAAACAAGCCTTGGTAACTCCAAAAATGCTAGAATCCATGCCACTTGCAAAGTCCTTCATTGCCACCAGAATAGTTGCGGCAAGCGTACACAAACACATGGCGCTCGTCCCAGACCAAGAAAAGCAGCAGGCCTAAACTGGCCAAGAACGCACCAAGCTAGATCACTTAGAACGGTATTGAAGAGCGACTTGTTCCACATGGGAGCCGCAGCTGGCTCTACGAAATTGACAGACAAAGGGTTGCTGGCCCAGTGACAAGAAAGCAAAAAGCCAAAAAGCACAAATTGTGTGTTGCCGCGCTTGCAAAACACAAAAACACACACACAAGTCACACAAGTGCACATACAGGCCAAACTCACCACAATGTTAGCCTCGTCCTGGGGCTCCGCACAGCTCGTGCCTCAGCGGACATGGTGATGTGCATGAGTGCGCCTGTACCACAGTGTAGCACAGGGTGCAGCGAGCGTCATGCAAGCCATGCAAGAATGATGCAAGTCATCAGAATGATGCATTCTGCAAGTCAGTGGCCTGCTGCATTCTCTTGGGCAATGTCAGATGTGCCTTTCAGAAGCTCTGCCAACTTGGGCACAGCCCCAAGTCGAGCAATAGCATCCTTAGCCCGAACTGCACCAACCGCGTATGTTCTACATCCAAAGCTTGCTACACTGATCAAACAAGTTAACTAAGGTGCCGGCGCTGTTGCCTTCGTGTCCAACAGTTAGATTCCATATGGCATAAGCAGCTTCTTGTGCTGGTCCGGCCTTGGCCAGTTGGATATTCCAAATACTGTAATCAAAGCCAGTCTTGAAGCATCCTGTCTCCATCCCGAATAAAGTCAGCCAAAGGTTGGATAGCTGGTGAGAGCGCCAAGCAAGCTAATCACGAATTCTGCAGGTGCTGCTAGAAAAGAAACGTTGGCTCCAAAAAAGGGGCTTAGGGCCCAGCTCCGGTGCCAATGCCAAGCAAGTCTACCAGCTTTTGGAAAATGCCAGCCTGGATCTGCAAAGCAACCGAGAAACTCTATACAAGCACGCTCATAAAGCTGCCTCTGCCAACTTGTCCTGATTCTCAGGGCTTTCATGACCTCATGTCACCAAACGTCTGCATCCAAGCCAAGCACTGGGACGTGTAGTTGCCAGTATCGAACCGCCTTTCAGCTAAACGAGCGTTGACCTTGCCAATACAAATGCATCGGAAAAGAGTCCTGGAGAGTTTGCACAGTACGACAAATTCAACATGCTGCAAGGGCTAAGAAAGCTGCAAAGATTGCCAAGCACAGCTGCTGCCATCTCCTCTCACACATGCCCATGCAACTGTCTTCAGACCAAATCACATCCTGCCTGCAGAATGCTATCTGAAGCAGTAAGTAGGTGACCAAGTCTTGGCACTGCACCGCCGGCTATCATCTCAGGCAAGCGTGCAGAAATGTGCTTGCATGCAACATACAATGCAACTTCGCTTTAACCAACCAAAAAGCAAATATCATGCCTCAGTGCCAACATCGCTGGATAGAGAGACGCCAGCATCTGTGAGAAGCAGCATGAGCTTCAAGGCTGACTCCTTGCGAGTAATGTCGTTTCGAGTCACTGAAATAATAAAGCATTGAGGCCTGATTCTTGCGCTCGCCAAGCATCTTTGAAAGAGGTGTGGCCTCAAATTCCACAGAGTGAGTCATGCGGTGCTACAAAACCTTCCAGCAAGCAACGCAAACCCTGTAAGCACTACACTAAGCCTTCGCTTGCAATTTGTACACACAACCTTGGCGTGTACAAAATGTGCAGAAATCGTATCTGAATGCCACATCCATTCAGGCCGTTGCTCATCATCACCGCGAAGCTTCTCATCCAACTGTTGCACTGCCTTCGTTGCAGAGAGTGCTGACAATCAAAATGGCAACGCTGGGCACATTGGAAATGACAGCATATATAGTTGATGGACGAAAGAAGATGACTGGCCTTCGACTGAATACCTAAATAAGCCACATACTTACCTCGTGAATGGCATGAGCTCCTCACAAATCAAACATGATGCTGGGCTTCGTCCATCAACAATTCAGTTGGAACTGCGTCACCTCCCCATCGCCAGCTTGAATACGCCTGCACAGTGCCATCAATGCAGTATCCAGTCATACCGTACGCGGAAACACAAGCCTTGCAAGTTCGCGCAGAGAAGCCGGAGCAGGAGCAGCTGCTGGCTTCGCTGCCTGAAATCGCACGCGGTCCATGACTTTGAAAAGCTTGACTGTGGCCTTGGTTGACGGCTGCATCTTGGTGGTCACCTGACTCTGGAAGCCACACGACATGCGCTGAGATTCGGAAACTTGCAAAGCCTTCGGCGCCACAGCAGCTGCTGCGACCTTACTAGCAGGGTGTTGCTGCCACGACGGGCACCGTCAAAGCACTGCAAAGCCGAGCAACTTTTTCCTCGGCGATTGGGGTTTTGGCAGCTAAGCCTGCCACAGTGCCCGAATCATGTTTGTGGGAGAAAAAGCAGCACATGCACTCCAAAGATACTAATCCTTGCTTGTACATCTGTATATGCATTGCCAATGTGTATTGTGCAAGGGCAATTGCATACTTGATGAGTCCTGCACATGTGGACTACATATGAGCAGTGTACAATTACAAAATGGCGCATACACACGCACACACAAGACACACCTATGCGTGAACCTTGCTTGCGTGCGATTTCGTGCGGCACCTAGGCACACAGTGCTCTTGCGAAAGCACGGCTGCAGTCAGAGCACACATGCTCCGTCACGTGTCCAAATGGTGAAAAGTCGCCCGTTGGAACGGAACATGTCTGCCACAAGATGGCTCGCGGATCAACAAATCAGCACAATGTGCTGGGCTTGCAGATGCCCTCAGTCTTGGTATTCTCAGCGCAGACTTGCGCTGCACATTTCTGCAAAGGGCATGCTCGCATTGAGTTGGCCGAAGCACGAGCTCGGGACAAACTTGAATGCCGAAAGTGCTTGACAATGTTAAATCTTGAATTCAGTTGAGGTGGATTCCAAATTGTATTCCAGGAGAATCTGGCAGGTTTTCCAGGCATGATGTACTTCGAAGTACGTGGAGCCAGACTCATGTCAAGAGTGCGTGGCGACTCCTGTCTGTGTTCTCCTCTGTATGGTCAAAGCAGTTGAGAGGGCAGCCTTGGAAAAGAGCCAAAGATTATGGTACAGAGCGGTGACGAAGCGGTGACAAGCGGTGACAAGCTCGGCGGGATGGAATTCGCCTGTTTTCCGGGCTGAAAGCGGAATCCTGAGCAAAGTGAGCGTCTGGAGCCTGCTTTCGACCGAAAACGAGCGAAACTTGAGGCTCAGGCATCCCACTTGCCGTCTGACACGAAAAACGAACTTTCCGGAGTTGGCCGTTTTGAGCGCTTTTTGCACCAAAAACGGAGCCAGACGGAGCGGTGACGAAGGCGGTGACAAGTTCGGCGGGCTGACGTGTCACAAGCCGAAACCTCGGCGGGCTGCCGCGCTCCGAGCCAGGTCCTCGGCGGGCTGTCGGGCCGCGGAAAACCCTGCGACTCCGAAGCTCGAGGAACTGGGCCGCTTTTGCGCACTTTTTCGACCCAAAAGCGAGCGGTGACAAAGCGGAGGCGAACGGTGACAAGCTCAGCGGGCTGGAATTTGCCTGCTTTTCCGGCCAGAAAACGGAATCCAGAGCACGGCGAACGTCTGGAGCCCGATTTCGACCGAAAACGAGCGAATTTGGAGGCTCAGGCACCACGTTTGACGTCTGACACGAAAAAACGAACTTTTCAAGGAGTTGGTCGTTTTGAGCGCTTTTTGCACCAAAAACGGAGCGGTGACGAAGCGGTGACATCGCTGGTGACGAGTTCAGCCGGTTGAAAATTATGCAGTTTTGCAAGGTTTTTCGACCAAAAAACCCAAATAATTAGGGTGGTATAAGCCTATGTTCCTTACTACTGGCAGCGCCGCATTCGCACGAGCGACATCGCATCGCTGGCCCAGATCGAGAGGGAGCTCTACGAGGTGGAGGAGCAGCTCGTCAGCAAGAACATCGCTGAGCGGCTGCCGGTCTTGCTGGCGGCCAAGAGCGCAACCCTCGCTGCCTTGGAGCGGGTCGAGAAGGGGCCACGTCCTGCCCCGGGTTGGCCAGCAAGTGGATCTTAGAGCCCGCGTCGTTGTCCCAGAAGGTCACGAACGCTCCCATCAGTTTCGTGAAGGCGCGCGCGACGGTGACCGGCCTTATTGAAATACAAACTCACAGCAAAAGTGCAATGAGGTCAATATCTTGTAACCACCATAAATGCACAATAACTGTTCACAGCACACCAGTGCATGTATACATGTACGTGTATATATATATATATATATATATCTACTTGTGTTCATGTATACAAATATGAATCTCTCTGTGCATGTTTTAGATTTGCATATGTATCCACGCTTTTGCTCACTGTATTCATCATGCTCAATCAATCTTCATGTACACATCGTTGTGTCTGAACTTGCAAATGTCAATATATATATATATATATATGCTATCCCCCAAAAAAAACCTAGGTTTCATACCGTTTCAAGTGGATTTGTGCCAGCAAGGGTTGCCACACAAGGTTCATTCTGATAGCGGGCCAGGTTGGTTTCGTCACTCTTCAAATGGATTTGTGTCAGAGTGGATTGAGGAAGTGTCATTTTAGTTGATTGAACAGCCCCGGCTGAACAGAAGTGAAGACAGACAGTGCCCTGATAGATGACTTACAACATGGAGGCACCACAGGTCTTTGTTTTCTGCCATCTGGTTTCATCACTCTTCAAATGGATTGGTGCCAGAGTGGATTGAGGAAGTGTCATTTTAGTTGATTGAACAGATGAGGCTGAACAGAAGTGAAGACAGACAGTGCCCTGATAGATGACGAAGAGATGAGGAATGAAGCAGTGGTGAGTGACATGTCCTTTCACCCAACCACCATTCTATGCTGTAGGTGAAAGACCATGAGATTACAGTAAAGGAAAAGAGATGGAAAGAGATGAATGATGGTGAGATTTCTTTGTCACCATCTGGTCATTACATTTGGTGTCTCTCTAAGACTCATCCAAATGTAACCCAAATAATCTTAAGATGTCTTTATTAATAGCCGCTGTGTCTTTTCTATCTCTTGGACACTGCTATTTTCATATTGTGTTATTTCCCTTTCATTTGTATTCCTGAGATTCTATAAGATACGAAAGGTAAATAATAATAGAAAAGAAAGGGAGATGATGATGGGTGACGAAGGAACAGGAAAGTGAGTGAGGAGACAGTGAGATGACACGGGAATGAAATGGTGGGTGAAAAGATGTCCACCACGTTAGTCCTTTCGGTAGTTCCTAGAGACACAAATATAGAATATCAATGTCTACAAACAACCTGACAAAGAGATAGAAATATAAATAGAACAGCAGTTGATAATTAATAGATCTTAAGATGAGACGGTGAGGGATAAAGAAGTCTCATCATAAAACCATTATATTTCTCTATCTCTTTCTCACATCACATCCCTTTCACCTCTGTATCTAGGATGTGATTGAGAGGTGAGAAAGGGAGAGACCAAATGATTTCCAAGATGAAGGAAGAGGAAATCATTGTGGATGAAGAGGAGAGAAATATAAGATATTAAAATATTTGTAAATGCTATTAACTTAGAGATTTATTATTTGGCTTCAAGCCTTTCTATTCCTCATCCAATTTCTAATGCTGGATGAGGTCATATCTCCCTTTATCACATGCCATTCCTTCCTTCTGTACCTCTCCTAACCATCTGGATCCGGAGATGAAGGCAAAAGAGAAGGAAGAGAAGCCAAATGATGAATCCAGGCTGTTTCCTTTCTCCTCTCCAGCCTGTAAATCACCGGCCACACGAAGGAATGGGCCGGGTGAGTGGGTTTGTAGGTGACATCTCTTCATTTGTCACCTAATATTATAATATTGGATTTTACAAATAAAAATCCATTCTAATTCTCTTCATCAAGGATTTTACAGATAAATCCAAGATGAAGGTAAAGAGAAAGCAATTAAGAGACAGATGAATGGGATCTCTTTCACCCATTCATATCTTCTCTGTATTTTACTATCTTATATTTCTCTCCTCTTCATCCACAATGATTTCCAAGATGAAGGAAGAGGACATCATTTGTGTGTCTTTTCAACAGACTCTTGTCTGCAGATGTACCTGATGCCCTTTTGTTTAGCAGAAATTTTCATGTGGTGAACTCAGCACGCTGGAAAATTATGCATAACATGTTGCAAAAACCTTGCAAAAATGCACGTGTTTCCATGTATGCAGTGAGCACACAACTTCAAACACATGCATCTTAGCAGCACCAAATGCATGTTTTTGTAGACACTAGAGCAACCACCCTGGACACATGATGATTATTCTATTTTGGTAGTAAAAGTGAACAAATACAAAGTAACAGAAACCAAGCAAAGTGAAACAGTAAAATAGTAAACAAGTAAAAAAGTAAAATATCTGGACCCATGAAATGTAAAAAAAAAAAGTAAAAAGGTAAAACTAATGATAAGTAAAAAAAAAGTAAAACCGCCACATGTAAAAAAGACTAGGGTTGTTTTTACTTTTATTGGGGAAAAAAAACTAATCGGGTTCACTTTTCCCAATCAAAGAAAAAACCCTAGTCGTTTTTACTTTTCCCAATAAAAGTAAAAAAACTAGTCTTGTTTACCTTTTCGCAATAAAAGTTCTAAAAAAAAGACGTCTTTCTTACTTTTGGCTGTTTTACTTTTTTACTTTTCATGAGTCCAGATATTTTACTTGTTTACTTGTTTACTGTTTTATTGTTTTACTTTGCTTGGTTTCTGTTCCTTTATATTTGTTCACTTTTACTACCAAAATAGAAAAATCATCATTTTTCCCGGGTGTTTGCTCTAGTTTCTACAGAAATATGCATTTGGTGCAGGTAAAATGCATGTTTCTGGAGTCGTGTGCTCACTGCATACATGGAAAAACGTGCATTTGTGAAGGGTTTTTTTTACCATTTGTTATGCAGAATTTACCAGTGTGCTGACCTCCCCCCCCCCCCACAAAACCTAGGTTTTTTTGGGGGGGTACCATATATATATATATATATAGGAATGTATGTGTGTGTGTGTGTGTGCGTGTCTCTGCTTGTGTCTATTCCAAATCTACATCCTTGCACATGTACTGCTTAAGTTCAGCCTAAAGGGTGCAAAGCGTCTGTGTCGCATTGTTTCGGCTGGCTAGCTAGCGGCTCCACCTGGAAAGCGCTGCATCAGCAACTTCTGCAGCAAGTCGCACTGCTGACTGCTGAGGATGCCCTGTGCCTGCCAGTGGCCAGTGGGAGTGCTGTTGCACTGTGACATTCCAATTCACAACTCATGGCCTTTGGCGCGCCATCCACAGCCTCCGCTAAAAGCAGGTCTGGGAAGCTTTCTGGCCTGGCCGGATAGGAAGACGAGTTTGTTGCTATCTGATTCACTTCCTAAGCTTCTGACCTCGGAGTGAAATCCACCCAGGTTCCGTCCTTGTGATTTCTGGGTCGATCTGTGCCGTTTCAACGGTACACACTTCTGAGCAGCAGTCCGGAAGGGAGTTCCACCAAAATCTTTCTGCCACAAACGCTTCACTAATCGCTTTGTCCAGGTGCTCATACCTTGGCTCCAGCATCTGCAAGAATGAGCCATTGGATAAATTAGAAGCTGGCACTGCCCAACCACGGACCACCTCCATACCAGCTGCCTTACAGGGTGCAGTGCCAGAAGACATTCAAACATCCTTACGCGCGCACACACACACACACACGCGCACATCCGTTTGAACAACACCTGAGCCCGCCTTTGCAGCACGTTCGGCATTGGAGAAGCTTTGGAGTGGTTGAAATTGAAGGCCCTCAAATGGCACACATGCTGGCCAAACAACCTCCCAGCCACCAAACAGCCCAGACAAGTACTGTACCGGCCTTCACCATGGACAGCTGCGTGGCATCCGGTCCTCACAACGTACTACTGCCCTGATCAAAAACTGCTACACTGCTCACTGTCTCTCTCCATTGGCATGAATGAATGTGTGCGGTTCTGCCAGGCTCTATTTCTGGAGGAAAATAATAATCACGCTCAGAGCGCTGCCAGGCACGACCCCGACCTTGCTCAAGTGTCATATTGTGCACTTCAACCAACAATGATTTGCTGCAACCGAGGAGCTTTCTTGCCTGCACACCTACCCTTCTTTCCGACCAGCTGCTTCAGTGCTTTGCTTGTCCCGTAAACATTGGGCCAGTCCCGCGGAAAGCCAACCTTGGTATGGCGTGAAATGACGTCAAATGCACACACAAAAAGGCATCTGCACCCATCAAACACAATCAAGCTGAATTGCTGCCACTGCTGCATGTCCTATCTGCTCAGCGCTCAGGTCTGCAGTTGACACAAAATCGCTGTGGTCCAGCCAATAGCCCTACAGGATGTTCAGCGCATGTTTCATGCTGCATCAAACTCAAAAATGGAAAAGACAGTTGTGTGTTGCTGCGTTTTCCGCTTAAAGCAGATTTCCTGGTGTTTCCGTTGACAGCCAAATTTTTAAGCATCAACTCTTCTCAAGCCCCTAATTGCAGACACTAAAATTGACTACTTTCATGGGTTACAGATCATGTGCCGACCCACCTGGCTCTTGCCAACCACGACCTTGTCGCCGCTTGAATCGAGCAACCCGGACAT